GAGGCAGCAGCGAAGGAGTTCGGGCACGAGCAGGTGGCGATCTGGAGGAGGAGCCACGACACACGCCCGCCCAAGGGGGAGAGCCTGCTGGTGAGTTGCTGTACTCGTTATAGATTGAAGCATCGAACAAGGTAAGAGTTTGGGCACGAACAGGAGGGAAACCATCTGTTGAAGGAGCGTCGACGGGTTTGTGTACCTCTTTCCGCATTCATTCACCCATGTGCGCCTCATGTCACTCCTGTACCCCTTATTGCATTCCCCAGGACACGTCAGAGCGCACGCTGGCGTTCTTCCTGTCGACGGTGGAGCCACGGCTAGCGGAGGGAAAGAACGTGCTGGTGGTGGCGCATGGCAATGTGCTGCGCTGCATCATCTCGTACCTCTGCGACCTCACCGAGTTGGAGATGCTGCGCCTGCATGTAAGTATGACTCGTTATAAGCAGACTCGATATAATCAGTGCTGGTGGTGGCGCACGGGAATGTGCTGCGGCGCATCATCTTGTACCTCTGCGATCTTTCTGATCTCGAGATGCTGTGCTTGCATGTAAGTATGACTCATTATAAGATGACGCCATGCGGCGCCCGCTCATGCCACACTCACACCTGTCCGCTGCTCTTCCCTCCTCCCTCTCCCCATCTCTCCCCTCCCTCAGATCGGCACGGCACACCCCTACTGCTTTGCGTTTGAGGGTGACGAGTACGCGCAGTGCTGCGCTCTGCCCCCTGTGGACCCCTTGACACAGCGGCCCCGCCAGAACGTGCCCATAGGGCTCGTGTCCGCCCTCAAGTCAGCACGCTCAGAGGAGATCGACTCACTCATCTAGAGGCTCAATTAGAGCCTCAGCTAGCGGCATTAGATGCTCATCTAGAGCGTGCACAGCACACACTGGCCCTTGGTAGCTATGGCTGGTTCAGGGACGAGACCGCTGGTTGGGCTAAAATGTTTATTTCTGGGTTATTTCTCTGAAGTATCTGTACTGCCCATTGTGAATGGGCTGACGATCGCTGCTCCCGTGAACCAGGGTGCTAGCGAAATCCGTCAAACCCAAGCCAGCAGCTGGTGACCTGGCGAGCTCGGCCTAGCTGCCTAGGCTTGTGGGTTGCTTCGGGCCTTCTTCGTAGGGTCGCGAATCACGAGGCCCCAAGTTGGCCATCGTTCTGCTAATCCGAGGCCCCAATATGATCATTCCCCTTGATTTGGTGTACAAGCATGAGACATCCATACCTTTACCATCACATGGCGTGGCGCCCTGGCAGAGACATCCGCTTCTGTCAGACAGTTCCCGCGCAAACGGGGGAACTCTGGGAATTTCGTGCTTCAGAGACACCGAAGATTTGTTCGCTAAACTAGTCGAAATTTCGCAAGTTGCATATTCTGCTGACGAAATGGCCAGCCTCGTCGTCTACGCTCTCACGAAACCTGCACCATCCGCCGACGGTGCGGCGGCCTCCACCTGAGCCAGGAAAATGGACTCGTCTCCACTAATTCCTTATTTTATCTGGGAATCCTTCACCACCACTCTAAATCTCTCTGAGTCGCCTGGAATGCACCACTGAACCCAACTTGTGTTCCATTGATGGACGCCATTCTCAAGGTTTCCTCAATTCCATCCACCTTACCTTCATCGCACCACTCTGCTCATTGAGTCCTTGAAGAAAAGCTCGCTAAGCCGACGTCCATGGCTGTCGCCATTTCTTTACAGATCATGTTACTTTCAGATTTCGTAGTCTTAGTCTTATTCCATCGTGATCGTCAGATATATTGGTTTCAAGAACCAAGCTCATACTGTTGCAATCCATGGCTGTCGTCGTCGGACGCGTCACGGTTTTAACGCTTAGTCGTAGACACAGTCTTATCGAATAAACTGAGCTCTACGGCTGCCCTACGGAGAATCTAACAGTTTTATAGGTAGACGGCTCTAGTAACTCGAAAAAGTTCCATCTCTATAATTTTGGAATCTGTAAGGCGGCTCCTAGCAGTACCTGGCTCCCGTCGACTGCCATTCCGTCGTCTACCAATAATTCTCTATCCTGATCGAAATCTCGATTTTGGTCGCAGTGTTTCACAATATCTCGGTTTTAGTATTTTAGACATCGCCTGACAGTCGCGGGGAGAGTGGGGGTTCGCCGAGATGCCTCAGAAATCTTCCGAAGGTTTCTCCATAATACGTTCGTTGAAGCAGCGAGAACAGTTTGATTTCGTGACGGCCGACGCCGATACCCTGCCGGCGAAAATGTTTTCCACGGCGAAGGCAACGCGAATGATTTGATGGCGCTGCGACGAGCACTTCTGACATCGATTAAACGATATGTGCTCTTCCAATGGTGGTGACTGAGGGGGTGATAGGCGAGTTCTGACGGTGACGATCGAGATAATGACCTCTAATGGCGACGATCGAAGTGATGCGTTCTGACAGTGACGATCAGGGTGCAAGTTCTCACCGTGACGATCAAAGCGAAGCTTTCCGACGGTGACGATCGAGGTGACATTTCCCGACGGTGACGATCTGAATTGTTACAATGACGAGCGGAGCGACGTTTCTTATGGTGACGATCGCGATGGTGACTTCTCACGGCGACGACCGAATTGAAGCTGACGGTGACGACGATCAAGAGTGCGGCTTCTAATGGTGACGACTGAAGGGACGCTTTCCGACAGTGACGACTGAAATTGCGACTTTTCACGGCGGCGATCGAAGCGCTGCTTTTCGACGGTGACAATTGACACGCAAATTGTTGACCATAAAGAGGCGATTGCGACGGCCGGTCGGATTCACGTCAACAGCAACGAGGGACGCTCATTCGAAGATTCAATGAAGCAGCAGAGTGGATCATCCTGCTGCTGGCTGGAACGATGACTGTGTCTCTGTTTCTGTCGCTGCAAGTTCCCCAATACGGCTAAGTCCACTCTCTCTCGCCCTTGTTCGATGACACAATCTGGCTGGAACGATGCCGCTTTGGTTCGTCGTTGTCCTTGCCCACTTTGTACCGCGCGTTTTCCTCACTGCATGCTCGAAAAACATGAGTTTTTTTCTAAATGGCGTTTGGCGATGGTAGCGCATGGCACTGGGGCGGCTTGAGCTCATACTAGAGTCGTAGGGGGATAGAGTAGAATGCATTCATACTCATGCTCGCGTCCCTTCCTTACCCAGTCCCCCCTTGCCAGCTAGCTCGCCGCCCTAGTGCTGTGTGCTACCATCGCCTCCCCTTTCACTGCGTCACAGTGCCACGTGCTTTTCAACTTCAACTTTTGTTTCCTTTACTCATTCGTTCTTGTTATCTCTGCCTCCTTTCATGCATATCTCTGCCTCTTGCTATCTATCGTGCTTCGACTGGGTACTTGAGTTCCTTTCCTCCCACTCGATCCTCTTGCTTTCCTTTGCTGCACCCCTCTTGTCCGGTGTTGTGGCAGCGTGTGGGGAGGGAGGGAGGTGGGATGACGCACGGCAGGCATTCACAGCAGGGCACGTGCCTCCTGCAAGCAACCCCATACGGCTAAGTTCCCTCTGCCAGCGCCCTTTCCATCCTTACCGACCGCTTCTGCTTCGTGTTTATCATCGCCCACTTTTGTACTGCGTTCTTTCCTCGCTGCATGCTCGATAAAACTAAATGAGAGATGAGAGATGAGCGCCAAAAGTTGAATGAGAGATGAGTGGCGTTTTGGCGATGGTAGCGCATGGCACTGGAGTGGCTTGAGATCATACTAGAGTCGTAGGGTAGAGCAGAATGCATTCATACTCATGCCCGCGTCCCTTCCTTACCTCGTCCCCCCTTGCCAGCTAGCTCGCCGCCCTAGTGCTGTGTGCTACCATAGCCTCCCCCGTCACAGTGCAACATGCTGTTCAACTTCAACTTTTGTTTCCTTTACTCGTTCGTTCTTGTCATCTCTGCCTCCTTGCATGCATTTCAGTACTCTCTTGCTTCTACTGACTTCTTGGGTTCCTTTCCCCCGCTCGGTCCTCTTGCTCTCCTTTGCTTCACCCCTCTCGTCCGGTGCTATGGCAGCGTGGTGCGGGGAGGGAGGGCGGTGGGATGACGCGCGCCAGACAGTCACAGCGGTGTGCTTGCCTCCTGCAAGCCCTGACGCTACCGTCCTGCAAGCACCCCCATACGGCTAAGTTCCCTCTCCTTTCTCCCTTGCCATACTTGCCGTTTCTGCTTCGTGTATATCATTGCCCACTTTTGTACCGCATTTTTTTGTCACCGCGTGCTCGGAAAAACTAAAACTTATTCTCGTACGCGAACAATCAAAAGTTGGAGAGACAACTGATGTTTGGCGATGGTAGCGCATGTCACTGGGGCGGCTTGAGCTCATACTAGAGTCGTAGGGGGTTAGATTATAATGCATTCATACGCATGCCCGCGTCCCTTCCTTACCCAGTCCCCCCTTGCCAGCTAGCTCGCCGCTCTAGTGCTGTGTGCTACCATCGCCTCCCGTTTCACAGCGTCACAGTGCCACATGGCTTTTGATCTACATCTTTTTCGTCACAATATATGCCCTCTCTGTTTCGTTTCTCCTGTTATCCTTGCCTCCTTTTATGTATTCTACGGCTTTCTTGCTTCTGCTAGACCAAGTGCTTGGCTTCCTTCGCCACTGCCTTCTCTTTTCTCCTTCTCCTCTGCTCCACCTTTCTTGTCTGGTGCTATGGCAGCGTGGTGCGGGGAGGGAGGGCGGTGGGATGATGCACGACAGGCAGTCAAAGCGGTGTGTGTGCCTCCTGCAAGCTCTGCTGACCACGCCGCTTCCTCACGAGCCCAGCAACCTCGACAGCCGCTGCTTGGAGGAGTGCTGCTGGGAGGGGTGCTTTTGGGAGGAGTGCTGCTGGGCACTCCAACTCAGCTGTGGCCCATCCAACCACTGGTTTGCGTACTCGGTTCGCATTTATGCATTCTTATTTTCTCCTCCAAAAATCTTGCTCTCGCATTGTGGCCCACACTTGCTGACTCACTCACTCTCCCGGGCTCTTTCACTTGTCTCTGCGCCTCACATCCCTCCGCCCATGCCATTCCTGCAGGACGAACTTAATGGTGCTGCTGCAAATGGTGCTGCTGTTAATGGTGCTGGTGCCACTGGTGTTGGTGCTGGTGCTGGTGCTGGTGCGGCTGGGAAGGGTGCTGCTGGGAAGGGTGCTGCTGGAAGGGTTGAAGCATGGGAGGAGTGGCGCCGTGCACCCACCTTCTCCACCCGCCTTCTCCTGTTGCTGGTTCGAACGGCTGCTACTTTGCTGCTTCTGTTGCTTGGAAGCACCGTCCAAATGGCTAAGTACCCCTCTTAACCCTTCCCCCTCCTCCCCCTCCTCTCACCTTGCCACCCTTACTGTTGTTTCGTCTGGACAATGTTAATGTTTGCCCAATTTCTTCTCTCAAAGCATGCTCGAAACTAAAATGACTCCTTCGCACAGAAGGATAAAAAAATATACCTTTGCGTGGCGATGGTAGCGCATGGCACTGGGGCGGCTTGAGCTCATAGTAGAGTCGTAGGGGGAAGAGTAGAATGCATTCATACTCATGCCCGCGTCCCTTCCTTACCCAGTCCCCCTTGCCAGCCAGCTCGCCGCCCTAGTGCTGTGTGCTACCATCGCCTCTCTGTTTTGATTGCATCCTTCCACATTGTTTCCACTTCTCTATTTTTTCAGTTTTCCCTGCCTTGTTTCTTTTGTCGCTTGCAAATCCTGTTCCAATGCTGCCTTCCGTCCTTGGACTTACTTCCTGCATCCCGTGTCACTATGCCTATCCTCAACTCTATAGCTTGTTCCAGCCCAAAGGAAGTGCGAGCAGCAAGGAGCGGCAGAGGCAGCCATTGGGAAGGGTGTTGCTGAGAGGGTGTTGCAGGGAGGGGTGCTGCTGGACTGGGAGGGGTGCTGCTGGACTGGGAGGGGTGCTGCTGGACTGGGAGGGGTGCTGCTGGACTGGGAGGGGTGCTGCTGGACTGGGAGGGGTGCTGCTGGACTGGGAGGGGTGCTGCTGGACTGGGAGGGGTGCTGCTGGACTGGGAGGGGTGCTGCTGGACTGGGAGGGGTGCTGCTGGACTGGGAGGGGTGCTGCTGGACTGGGAGGGGTGCTGCTGGACTGGGAGGGGTGCTGCTGCAAGTGCAACTACTGAGTGCAGCATGGGACGAGCACCCGTCATCTCCACCGCCTGCTGCCCTTCTCCTCCCGCCCCTCGTTCCGCCTCCAGCTGCCAACGTTCTCACCGAGGGAACCTCACCAGGTGATAGCTCCTCAATCTCCTCAAGATGAGAGCGAATCTCCACTCGACAGTGGCCCATCCAACCACTAGTTTGCTTTCTCATTTCTCATTCCGCAAGTTCTTTGGACCTTTCTTCGAGGCGTGAAGCAAGGGCGCCGAAGGCGCCCCTCCCAGCAAAGCTTGCGACGGATAATACATGCCGCCGGAAGCGCCTAAGTTTGACCGCGAGCTAAGTTTGTAGGGCTTACGGCGCATAATACATGCGCGGACTCACTCACTCCCTCGCTCTGCCTCTTTCACCTGTCGCTCTGCGCTTCCCCTTCTTATCCCCTTGCAGCACCTAACTACAGGTACGCTAACCCCACTCTGACTACAGGGCAGCGCCTAACTACAGGTACGCTAACCCCACTCTGACTACAGGGCAGCGCCTAACTACAGGTACGCTAACCCCACTCTGACTACAGGGCAGCGCCTAACTACAGGTACGCTAACCCCACTCTGACTACAGGGCAGCGCCTAACTACAGGTACGCTAACCCCACTCTGACTACAGGGCAGCGCCTAACTACAGGTACGCTAACCCCACTCTGACTACAGGGCGGTGTCTGATGCATGCAGGAACGAACAATCAAGCAGTAAAAGTTTGCAGACCTGAAAGAAACGAACACAAAAAGGGATGACAACTCTGTAATTTCAATGAGGGAATAGGTGGGATCATTATGATATATTTTTATCTGCTGTGTGCCTTGCTCTGTTATATAGTACAGGCTGTAGGATGTAGGTTTTAGCTTGTCACCTCACCTGTAGGCTGTAACTCCTCTCATCTCCTTTAGGTTGTAGCACTGTCTGTTTTGAATTTCAGGATAGAGAGTAGAGGAGGAGTGGGAGCAGACGAAGATACATGTAGAGGAGAAGGAGCAGAGCGCTATGCACTCAGGAGAGGAGAGGGAGCAGAGGACGATACGTGCAAATGAGGAGAGCGCACTGAGACAGAGGAGAGGGAGCAGAGGAGGACAAGAGGTTGCCGCAGCATACGTGGTAAGATCCGACTTTCGTTTTTATTCTAGTCCTCCTTCCTTCATCTTGTTCTCCGTTTCCCAAGTCTCCAGTCCTGAAGTTCCTCTGCTGTACCACTCGTTCTATCTCATTCGCTCTGACTCGCTCTTTTGACCCTCGACATGCCACCACATCCACATGTTACCAGTCCGCTTCACTGTCACCTACCTGTCTGTGTAGTGAAGGAGTCATTCTCTCCCCTTGCCTCTTCTTACAAGTCCTACCCTATGACAGCACCTTCACCTTTCTCTCTCCTCGTTTCCTTCCCTGCCACTACTCTTCCGTTCCCTGTGTTACATCCATCAGGCGAGGACAGTAAGGTGAGAGAGCAATGAGGGCCTTCATGGGAACACAAGAGGCGGACTTGATGTGGCAAGATCCAGGGTTCAGGGTGCTTCTCTTCAAAGAACAAGTCTCCCTTGCCACCCTCGTCTGAACGTGATCTTTCCCCTCCGACTTACTGCCATGCAGCTGTCACTTCATCACCTTATTGTGGGTAATGTGGAGCAGAGAAGGCCAGAGGGAGCAACATCTATGCGGCGTTCGTGGTCTGCGTGGTAAGATCCCTTCTGCATTTCCTTTTGTTGCCAGCCCGACCCTCTCTTTTTTCTCCGTAGAACATCATCGCTTTTCCTCTCATGTCTTCATTGTCTCCTAGTTAACCCTCTCCCTTTCTCCTTTCAACATCATCGCTGCTCCTCTCATATCTTCCCTGACTCCGTCTTCCCTGCCTTTCATCCTATGGTCGAGCACAGCACGGAAGTGGCAGGCAGAAGCAGCAGTATCAGCAAGGGACAACAATCAAGGCCGGATCAGCTGAGCCCTTCTTCCCAATGCACAACAATGGTACTTTTAATTCCTTGCCCCCATCTCCTTAATGCACTATGTTCCTTCCACTCTCGCTTCTTTGCCATGCTCCTTGGAACATGGCCGTCCCTCCTCTCATGTCCTCTCCCTCCTCTCGAATCCCATTGCGTTTCCCCTGACAAACAGAGACGGCATTTGCAGCATGGGGGGACTAGAGGCAAGGCCAAGTCAATCGGGTTGTCTCTTTACGGTAAGCTTTCTCGCTCAACTTTCTTCTCTGCTGGCCCTAATTTCCAATATCAGCCTCTCTACTACATCTCCTCGCCTGTGCTCCTTGGTATTACCTTCGTTCCTTTACTGTCAAATGTCTTATGTTTCGCCTTTTTCCTCTCCTCTGCCTTCACGTGCCTTTTCCCCTCGTGTTTCCTCCTTCGGGTGTGATCAGCGGCAGTGGGCGGAGCAGCAGTTTGGCAGCAGCATTGGAACACGAGGATGCACAAGAATAGCACGTGCTTTGTGGCGTCTTCTTGTGGTAGGATTTTGCACCCACTCCCCTTCTCTTCCGCACCACTCTTGCATGGCACATCAATACCCCTTCGAACCTTACTCTTCCTGTCCTCGTCTCTCGGTCCTTTGCCTTTCATGCCCATTTCTCTTTCTGACCGGCAACGCTTTTCCACTAAGGCTGGTTTTTCATTATTTCTCTTTCTTGTCCCTGTATCTTCTCTTCGTCTCTAATTTGCCCATCTCTCTCTCTCGCTGCTTTGCCTCGGGTGTGTTGTTGACATGACAGGACAGGAGGGGACTGGTGAGGCAGGGGTGAAGAAGTAAGGCAGCGACTGCTATTGCCTGGTGGAACCAACTGAAGCGGCCAGCCGGTGAGGTGCTAATCGTCGTCAGAGAAGGTGAGCTAAGAGCAACCGAACACAGGCTGAGCCCAAACACAGCATATCGTATCATGTCAACCCATATCGTGTACTTTGTTTAGGCATCCATGTCTGATATTATCATATTTGATTCCATCATGTAGACAAGCTCAACTCTTGTCCGCCTTCCCACCTCCTCTCGTCTTCTTGCAGGAATCAAAGCAGCTCCGCTTGGAAGCCGAGACTGATGATGAAGACCACAAATGCTAGGTCTGAAGCAGATAGAAATTGATAATTTATCTAGACTAGTAACACTCTCAGGTATGGTATCCCCCCCTACCCCCCCGTAACCCCCCAAAAATCCCAATCGCCCACCCCCCCTTTCCCCCCCACATCCCTCTTCCCCTGTCCCTACTCTTCCCCCCTCCTCCTCTCCACCCACCACCCCCCCCCCCCCCGGATTGCCCCTCCGCGTTCCTCCTGCAATCCACCTCCTTATGCGTCCCGCCTCCCATTGGGACCTACCCACCTCAGCAACCCTCTGCGTAGGGCAGGCACAGGGCTAGCCACAGGGCTAACCACAGGGCTAACCACAGGGCTTGTGCCTCCTGGCACGTTAATCACAGGGCTTGTGCCTCCTGGCACGTTAATCACAGGGCTTGTGCCTCCTGGCACGCTAATCACAGGGCTTGTCCAATGAACCGAATGCCGGACACTATACGCAGCGCTTGTGCATGGAAGCTCACTAACTGCAGGGATTGTGCATTGAGCCCAGGGTTTGCCCATAAAGGGATGCTAACGACACGGCTAGTGCAGCAAAGTAGGCTAACCACAAGGCTTGTGAGATAGCTTCCAGAAAGCTGCGCATCAGAGCATGTACAGTGCTTGTGCATCAGAGCATGCTAGCCACAGGGCTTGTGAGGTTGGAGCACACCTGTTACAGGGTTTGTGCATCGAATCACACTAAGGGCGTGTTCCTACGGCCTCATATCAGGAAACCTCGTATCAAGAATGTACCTTTTGCCTGGTAAAACTAGTGAGAGGTTTCGGGTTTAGGGGAATTTTCAGTGTGAGCCTGATATGAGGTTGTCTTGATACGAGGATAGGAACACGCTCTAACAGGAACTTGTGCATGGAGACAGGGCTTGGGCATTAGATATTGCAGGGCGTGTGGCACAGGGAGCACCAGGAAAACCCAAAAGTTCCATTTTGCACGCTTCACCCACCTCACCAGTCATCTCTAAGACTAGGAACCTTCTAGGTAGAATCTGTTTGTACCCTGTGAGTGTTCTTCGTTCTGGGCATATGGTTTTGTTTGAAATTCCACCCCAGCTGTGACCATACTCGTTACAGTGCTCTGTGGGCTATTGTCAGCAATTTCCGTGCTGCTGTGCGTGCCTCCTCAGTGCGTCCACCCGCCAAATCATCCAACCAATCTGCAGCAAAAGCTGATGAGCCGTGTGATTCGTGAATTGAGTTTCCAGCTGAGGAGGAAAGCCACACCATGTATCAGTGAAGCACCTAGCAGCTTATCTGAACTTGATTGCAGTTTTCGCGACTACGGCTTTAGTCCGCAGAGCCTAGTTGGTGTAGATCGCTGTGTAGAGGAGGCCGTGTGTACCGTCAGTCTCTGTCAAGATCTAGTGCTCCCTTACCATTACCCCTTGGTTCATTGAAAATAATAGTCCGGAGAGCTGCGTGTCGCTCCATTGCGGCCTCCCAGTCCTTATTGTCGGTAGTTCCTTTACCAACTTCCCTCACTTGTTCCCATGTAGCCTTTCGTGTGTTGGCTATCTCGACAGCAATCCTTGCCAGCCGCTTAATGTTCTCCCCTTAATTCGTTCCTGAAACCATGGCGAGCCGATTAGGATCATCGACAATGGGTGTCGGTAGAACGGCAGGTAGAACCGGTGCAGGTAGAACTGCGTTCAATGGCTCGCGCGCGCACGTGCGAGCGTGCCAGCTCAGCACGGAGATCCACACGCTATTGGCCGTCATGCGCCAGAGCTCCAAATGGGCAGTTTCCCCTATTTTCCTCGACGAGACCTCCGGAGCCGACGCGGAAGATCCGCTTCTACGCAACCTTAAAGCCCTAAGGCAGAAGATCGTCACCGATTGGTCGGACGACGACTGGGAGACGGCGCGCGTGCCGCCGTCCGCGTACCTCGCGCCGTTCCTCGACGTCGTGCGATCCGAGCGAACAAACACGATTGTTACCAGCGTCGCATTGTCGTCGGTGCTGAAGATCCTGAATCTGCAGTTTTTCGACGAGTCAACGCCCGGAGCCGCGGTGGGGATTCACATGGTCATGGACGCGGTCACGTCGTGCCGCTTCGAGGTCACGGATCTCGCGTCGGAAGAAGCGGTCCTCGTCAAGATCCTCCAGGTAACCGCGTCGCGTTTAATACCACGTGTCAATGTAAGCGCGTGGCGACGAGGCGGTCCTCGTCAAGATCCTCCAGGTATTCGCGCCTTGGGGTAACTGCTTGGGATTGGGACATTGTGACACCCAGATCCTCGAATCTGTACCTCTCCAGACACCCACGTCTCGAGGTCACCAAGTTTCGAGGTCACCAGGTCTTGTTTTTACCACGTCTCGAGGTAAGTGACTCTTAGTGTGATGTTTGTTTTCACCAGGTCTTGTTTTTACCACGTCTCGAGGTAAGTGACTCTTAGTGTGATGTTTGTTTTCACCAGGTCTTGATTTTCTGGGAGCGATCATTGTTGAGCGCGCATTGATTCTCCTCGTGGTTCTCCCTACCCCGCCGTGAGCGTTAGAATCCAGCCATTCAGGTGCGCCTCGAGACCTAGCACGGCCTCTACGTCGTCCCGTCCCCTCCTATTCCTCCCCCCCACATCCCACCTATCAGGTGCTCCTAGAAACGGTGCGCAGCCCTGCGGGTCCCCTGCTCTCGGATCGCCACATGTGCAGCATCGTGAACACGTGCTTTCGAGTGCTGCACCAGGCCGCCTCAAGTCTGTGAATCCCCCCCCCCCCCCCCACCCGCACCCCCCCTCTCTCCAGGTTCTTCTAGAGACAGTACGCAGCCCAGCAGGCCCCCTGCTGTCAGACCGTCACATGTGCAGCATCGTCAACACGTGCCTCCGAGTGCTGCACCAGCCCGCCTCCAAGAGCCACCTCCTGTCTGTGTTTTTCCCTCTCCCCTTGCCTCCCTATCCCCCAGGTTCTTTTAGAAACAGTACGTAGCCCTGCGGGGCCCCTGTTGTCCGACCGCCACATGTGCAGCATCGTGAACACGTGCTTCCGCGTGCTGCACCAGGCCGCCTCCAAGAGCCACCTGCTGCAGCGCCTCGCCTGCCAAACGCTCCTCGACATGGTCCGCGAGATTTTTGGGCGGCTGCCCGAGCTGCCCGCGAGCGAGGAGGAGGGGGAGCTGGGGGAGGCCGAGGCGACGCAGGGGACGATGGACAGCACGCCGTTCTCGCCCAGGGTGGAGGCGAGGGTGGGGGGCGGGGAGGAGGGGGTGCAGGAGGGGGCGTTGGAGCTGGGGGGAGCGACGGTGGAGGAGGGGGGCGGAGGGGAGGGCCGGGATGGTGGCAATGTCGATCAGGTAAGAGGCGTTGAAGAGGGTTTTTGAAAGGATAAGGGGGGGAGGAAAGGTGTGATGCGTGTGTGTGGGGATGGGCGAGATGCTGGGAATGCTGGTCAGGTGAGAGCGATGGAAGTCGGTCTGACCAACCAAGTGGGTGGGGGAGTGGGGTTGGGAACAGGGTTGGAGGGTGGGGGGGAGGGGAGGGTGGTGAATGAGCTATTTCATGTTCCTTGGCATCTCGTGTGGCTTATTTAACCGTTACTGGTTCCCTGTGTGCTGCCTGCCACCTGTGCTGCTTCTTTTGCATCTTACGATGTTTCAAAACATTTCTGCTGCTGCTGCCATGCAGGGTGAAGCTGGTCCCGTCCCTGTAGGAGCAGCAGGAGGGGTGGCGGCAGTGAGTGCCACAGGTAGAACCAGCGGCAGCAGCACCGCCAGTGAACCAACCTCCAACACCCAATCCACCCCAACACCCAACGGCCTTCCTCCCACCTCATCCTCGGCACCCCCCAAGCCTCCCCCTCCCGCCGAGCCTGTCGAACAGCCCCGGGGACGGCAGGACGCAAGCAGAGAAACAGAGGAAGGGGTCGGGGAGGAGGAAGGGGAGCGGGGGCAGGCAGACAGTAGCAGCAACAGAGCGTCGGTGGGAGCCTTAGGTCGGCCGCACGGGGTGGCATGTGCAGTGGAGGTGTTTCACTTCCTCTGCTCGCTCCTGGGCCTGGAGGACCATCAGTCAGCGCTCTTTGCCTCGGGCATGCTAGCAGATGATGACGTGTCACTGCTGGCGCTCAGTCTCATATCGGCTGCTCTGGAGCTCGCTGGCCCGGCGGTGGTACACCACCCGCGCCTGCTGTCCCTCGTGCAGGACGAGCTGTTTCGGTCACTGCTGCAGCTGGGACTGTCTCCGAACCTTCTAGTTCTCTCGCAGGTGAGGGGTCTGTGCGTTCTCTCTTAGGTTTGAAACCTGTCTCTCTCTGCTCGGTGGTACACCACCCGCGCCTGCTGTCGCTCGTTCAGGACGAGCTCTTCCGCTCGCTGCTGCAGTTAGGGCTCTCCCCCAACCTCCTTGTGCTATCCCAGGTATGAGCCTCCACTCTGGAGTCTGTGTGTTCGCTTTCAGGTGTGACTCCTGTCTCTCTCTGCTCAATGGTGCACCACCCGCTCCTGCTGTCGCTCGTTCAGCTGTTTCGCTCGCTGCTGCACCTGGGGCTCTCCCCCAACCTGCTTGTGCTCTCCCAGGTATGGGCCTTCAGGTAACTCAGGGTAGTGCACCTCAGTGTACCGCAGTGTACCTCTGCCACTTCATGTGGTGCACCGCTTCCCATCCGCGCACCCCAGGAACTGGGCATACTCCAGACAGACACTCTTTCGTTCGCCCGCTCCCACCCCAAGCCGCAGCTAGAGTCCTTCTTTACCTTCTTCTCTTTCCAACCTTCACCACTGCCTGTGCCTGTGTCCCTTGCTTGCGCCCCACACTACCCACCACCTCCCATCCCCCCCAGGTCCTGGCCATAGTGCAAACGCTTTTCCATTCAGCCCGTGCGCACCTGAAGCTACAGCTAGAGGCCTTCTACACCTGTGCAGCCCCCAACCTGTACCACTGCCTGTGCCTCTGCCCCACCACCTCCCATCCCCCCCAGGTGCTCGCTATAGTGCAGACACTATTCCACTCAGCCCGAGCGCACCTGAAGCTGCAGCTAGAGGCCTTCTACACCTGTGTCATCGCCCGTCTTCCACCACCGCCTGTGCCTTTGCCCCTTGCTTGCGCCCCATACCTCCCATCCCCCCCAGGTGCTGGCGATAGTGCAGACGCTTTTCCACTCAGCCCGCGCCCACCTGAAGCTGCAGCTAGAGGCCTTCTACACCTGTGTCATCGCCCGCCTCGTCGGCACAGCAGGAAAGTTCACCGCAACTTCCTTCGCGCAGCAGGAAGCTGCCCTGGAAGCCCTCCTTGACTTCTGCCGGCTGCCCGAATTCGCCGTGGAAACTTTCGCCAACTTTGATGCCGACCTCACATGTGCGAATTGCCTGGAAGAGCTCTCAGGGCTGCTTTCTCGGGCAGCCTTTCCGGTAAACACACCGTTATCATCACTCCATGTGCTGGCGATGCAGGGGTTGCTGGCCGTGGTGCATCATATGGCTGGCAGGGCGAACGCTGCTGCCGCTGCTGGTGTTGCTGCTGCTGGTGGTGCTGGTGGTTCTGTGGGTGCTGGGGATGGTGCTGGTGTTGGGGCACCAGCCCCGTTGCTGCTGCCAGGTTCGGCCGTGCCAGCGGCGCCGGAGCTGAAGATAGCTTCGGAGAACGGAGCCATGTGGACGCAGGCTCGGGAGATGGTTGTCGCTGCCCTGGCTGCAGCTGCTGTTGCTGGGGCAGGCGAGGGGGCAGCAGGCAAGCAGGTGGGCGCGTCAGCATCTGTAGACGGATTACAGGGACAGCTACAGAATGAGCATCATCAACAGCAGCAGCATCACCACCATCACCATCACCATCACCATCACCATCACCATCAGCAGCACCAGCAGCAGCTGCTGCTAGTGGAGGTGGTGAGGCAGCAGAGGTCCATCAAGCGTCGTCTCCTCATAGGCGTGGAGCATTTCAACCGAGACTCAAAGAAAGGCCTGCAATTCCTCCAAGCCTCCAGCCTCCTCCCCTCGCTCCCCGACGCCCGCGCAGTCGCCTGCTTCCTGCGCTTCACACCGGGACTTAACAAAACACTAGTGGGGGACCTCCTGGGCGGGCACGAGGAGTTCCACGTCCGCGTTTTAGGGGAATTCGCTAAGCTGTTTGACTTCGAAGGCATGGCACTGGATGCGGCGCTGAGAACGTTTCTAGAAGGGTTTAGACTGCCTGGGGAGGCGCAGAAGATATCGAGAGTGCTGGAGGCGTTTGCAGAGCGGTACTATGAGCTGGCGCCGGCGGCGTATGGGTTTGCGAATCATGACGTGGCGTATGTGCTGTCGTACTCTGTCATCATGCTCAACACCGACCTCTATAATGGGCAGGTGCGTGGGTGGCTTATCAGGTGGTGTGAGTTGTTGTCGCTCGTAGTGCCCCTTCATGAGCTCGTGCTGAGAGTAAGAGTACTCCCGTCATGAGCATGGGCTGTCGTAGAAGATCCCTTTTCTTTGAGGCACCTCAAAAGGGTACTATGAGCTGGCGCCCGCGGCGTATGGGTTTGCGAACCATGACGTGGCGTATGTGCTGTCGTACTCTGTTATCATGCTCAACACCGACCTCTATAATGGACAGGTGCGTGGGTGGCTTATCCGTTGACTGTCTTGAGTTGCTGCTATCCCCGGCATGTCATGAGTATGTGCTGTCGTACTCTGTCATCATGCTCAACACTGACCTCTATAGCGGGCAGGTGCGTGTATGGCTGTGTGCTGAGAGTATGAGAGGTTCCTTCATGAGTGTGTGTGCTGCTGTCGTACTCTGTCATCATGCTCAACACCGACCTCTATAATGGCCAGGTGCGTGGCTCACTTGGCTTATCTGCTGACTGGCTTGAGTTGCCATGGGTTGTAGCGTGTCATGAGTGTGTGCTGAGAGTATGAGTACTCCCTCCTTTCATATGTATGTGCTGTCATATTCTGTCATCACGCTCAAGCTCAACATTGACCCGTATAATGGACAGGCGCGCGAGCTCATGATGCATATAAGCTTTTTTTGGTGGGTGGTTCTGTCTGTGCACTCGCACCTCGCTTTTCCTCTCCTTCCTATCCCCTCAACCACCCACCAATCCCCCCCTCCCCACAGGTGCGGCGAAAGATGACGGAGGAGGAGTTTATCCGCAACAACAGGAAGATCAACGACGGAAAGGACCTCCCAAGAGAGCTGCTCTCAGAGACCTACCACGCCATCGCCCGCCACGAGATAAAAATGTCCTCCGACGTCTCCCTCTCCTCCTCCTCCGCCTCCGCTTTTCCCGAGATGAATCTCAGCCGCTGGCTCGGGCTCATCCAACGGTCGCCGACCGCCGTGCCGTACATCCTCGCATCTAGTGCTGGACCAGAGTCTACTCCTGCTTCTACTTCTGCTGCCGCTGCTGCTGCTGCGGCTGGTGATGGCACTGGTGATGGTGGTAGTGGTATCGGTGCCAGTGCTGCTGCTGGTGCTCCAGGGGACAGAACCAGCACTGACGCTGCTGCATGCGACGCCTCACCCTCTCAGTCTCTCGATTCCGCCACTCCTGCTTTCCTCAATTCAGAATCCCTCCCTCCTGCTCCCCCTCTCCTTCAGTCCTCCTCCCCTTCTCGCCCCTCCCCCCCGTCCAAGCACCTCTCCCCACTCTCCCCTCCTCTCTCCAACCTCTCCCTCCCGCGCTCCTCCTCCTCCCTCTTCTTGCTCCAACTAGACAGAGACGTGTTTGCGGTTGTGGCAGGGCCAGCCATAGCAGCCATATCCGTTGTCTTTGACCACACAGAAGACGACGAATCACTCCTCCGCTGCTGCACCGACGGGTTCTCAGCCGCCGCTGACGTGGCGGCTTTTCACGGGTTCTCAGGAGCGCTGGACGATCTGGTGGTGTCCCTCTGCCGATGCACCACGCTCCGCCTGAACCCCTCCGGATCGCTGCCAAGTGGCGCCGATCTAGTGGACAACGCGGCAGCCGTGGCGTTTGGGGAGGACACCAAGGCTCGGCTGGCCGCCGTGACTGTCTTTGGTTTGGCAAACAGGCACGGCGGGGTGGTTCGGGGAGGCTGGCGGAACCTGCTGGACTGTGTGGTTCGGTTGCACAAGCTAGGGTTGCTGCCTGCTCGTGTTATAAGCGAGGTAGAGGATACAGAGGACGGGGCATTCTCAGGAGGGTTATACGCCTCCCCACAACCACAACAGCAGCCGCAACAGTCACAGCAGCAGCAGATGGGAACGAGTCCCACCCCTTCTTCCTCCACTATATCATCTACCACCACTGCTTCCACATCAACCCTTGCCATCACCAGCCCAGCAGCCGCAGCCGCTCGCAAGAAAGGCGCCGGTAGCGGCGGCGGCGGCGGGGGAGGGCTGATGATGCGGTTCTCCCAGCTGCTCCTGCTTGATTCGGACGATGACTACTCGTACGGCGGCGCCAGCTCAGCGCAGCCCACGGAGCGCCAGGTGGCGGCGCGGCAGCGCACGGAGGAGGCGGTGGGGGCGTGCCGAATCGAGGAGCTGTTTCGAGGGACTGCGGAGAGGCTGGAGGCAGAAGCACTGATGCACCTCGTGAGGGCTATAGTGTGGGCTGCTGGGCGGGCGTTTAGGGGCGCGCTGGGGATTGGGCCTGGGGGGGCTGGTGGGGGGAATGCTGGGGGTGCGGGGGGAGGGGCTGGTGGGGACGGGATGGGGGGAAGAGGTGGAGGCGGAGGGGGAGCAGGAGCAGGGGGGGGAGGAGGAGCAGGAGGAGGAGGAGGGGGTGCTGGTGGGCCAAATGTGGGAGGAGGAGTGGGGAGTGGAGGAGGGATAGCCGTGGGCCCTCTATCTCCAGACGAAGAAGACACCGCAGTTTTCTGTCTCGATCTGCTCCTCGTGGTAACCCTACGTAACCGCTCCCGCGTGCTGCTCATCTGGCCGCTCCTCTCCTCCCAGCTCGCAATCATCATGCAGTCAGCCAATGCCGGGCCGCCACCTGGCCCACTAGTGGAGCGAGCCGTCTTCGGTCTCCTCCGGCTGTGCCGAAAGCTCCTACCAGCGGCAGACGAAACCCTAGCAGACGAGCTGCTAAGGTCCCTGCAGCACGTGCTGAGACTCGACGCTAGGCTAGCTGATGCCCTCTGTGAGAGGATTACGCGGGGTGTGTTGGGGATTGTGAGGGAGGGGCGGCAGAGTGGGGCGCTGCGAAGGGTGAAGTCCCCGCCTGGGTGGAGAACGCTTGCTGCTCTGCTGGCCATCACAGCCAGGCATCCAGACGCTGCTGCTCCCGGGTTTGAAGCCCTCTCTTGGCTCATGGCACCCATTCCCCCCGGTGCTGCTGCTCCCGGTGCTTCTCCTGCTGCTCTCGCCTCGGATTACTCCGCTGGTGCTGTGGAGGATTATGGGGAGGTCTGCACCGACGGCCCCCCGTGCGTGTCCCCGTGCAACTTCATCCCGTTCCTCGATGCGGCTCGGGATTTCGCCGAGGCTCGGGTGGGAGGTTCGGAGCGGTCGAAGCGAGCGCTGGACCTGCTGGGGTGCTTGATAGACTGTCTGCTGGAGTGGAGAGTGGCAGGGGAGATGGAGCAAGCAGCAGAGGCGGACCGACTAGCCACAGCAACAGCAGCAGCAATGGCAGCAATGGCAGGAGGTGGTAGGAGTGAGGCGGACAGTTCGAGTAGTGCAGTTTCCGGGGCGTTCTCCCCACAGCAACAACCTCCCTTGTCAGCTGCCCTCTCTCCCTCACAACTCAGCCCCATACCCTCATCATCATCAGGGGGAGGTGCAGCTGGGGGAGGTACACCTGCAGCAGGGCGGTTCTCAGGGCAGGACCTGGCGGACCTCTGGCTTCGCCTGCTGCATGCTTTGCGCCGGGTCTGCTCAGACCAACGAGAAGACGTGCGGAACCATGCCCTAGTGTGGCTGCAGCGCTGCCTTATAGCTGCCGACCCCCTCCGCATGCCCACCACCATGTGGGCCCCGTGCTTCGACCAGGTCGTGTTTGTCCTTCTGGACGATCTTTTAGAGGTGCATTTGCGGGAGAAACCCAAGGAATACCGGGGTATGGACGCGTCGTTGCTCCGTGCTGTCAAGATGCTGTCCAAGGTTTTTCTGCATTTTCTTGCCAGCCTTGCCTCGCTGCCAGGCCCGGGGTTCCGAGCCTTGTGGCTCGGCGTGCTGCTTCGGATGGACCGGTATATGAGGGCTGGAGGGGGTGGGGGCGGCGGGGGGAGGAGAGGAGGGGGAGGTGGGGAGGGGAGAGGAGGAGGGGGGGAGTCGTTGAGAGAGAGTGTGGGTGAGGTGCTGAAGAATATGCTGATGGTGATGCTGACGCAGGGGGTGCTGCAGGTGACTGACGCGTCAGACACGGAGAGCCTGTGGAGCGCCACGTGGCGTGCGGTGCATGCCATGCTGCCGCACTTAAAGCCCGAGTCGCTCGTCCCGCCCGCACCGATTGCACCTGCGCCCATGGCTGCAGGTCCTGTTGGTGTTGGTGCTGCAGGGATGGATGGGCAGCAAGCAGGAACGGCTGTGGTGGGAGGTGCGGGGGAGGGTGCCTTGGTGGGCGGGCAATGATATTGGTGTGGGAACCATGGCAGGTGCACTGACTGGGAGCAGCACTCACCATGGCCTGTGGCTGGTGGAGCTATGGGTGTGGAACAAGCAGGAGCGAGGCCTGCAGTAGGTGCAGGTGTGGAGTCTTCTTGTTGTTTCTGCGCTTGAGCATGTGGGAAGCATTTGGTGTGTCGTGCAGGAGTTACGGTATGTGCTATTTGAGCGAACAGAATGAAGGACATGGTAAGGCTATTAAGGTAGCTCGCTTTCTGTAGAAGCTTAGGTTTTCGCATCCAGATGGCACATGGGGTGTGCCTCTCTCGTGCAGCTTCCTGAGTTGCCTGCTTGCTACGGTTTTTGCAATATCCCATGAGAGGCTTCAACGGCGTCCTAGCCAACAACTAGCGTATCAGTAATGGCAATATGCCCAGTAATCAGCAGTTGTGGTGCAGGTTGTGTTGTGACCGTGGTACCTTCAGAAAGTTGTTTTGTTTGCTCTCGATCGTAATCGAATCCAAATTCTAGGCTAGTAACGCAGATTGCGTGACATGAGAACGGCAGGAGTGTCAGGATTTGGCGGCGAACGCAAGAATTTCGAGACCCTTTCATCTCATTCAGCTGCACCATGTCCAACCGATTCTAAAAAGCTATGGAAAGTTCAGAACCACGGTGCATCCCTGAGTCCACACCTTCACACTCACCATGCTTTCTGCCAGCGAATGCTGAACTCATCAGCACAGAAACACGGAAGGAAGTTTGTTTGTAGCACTCCATGTAAGCTTGTCTATCGCTCTACAATTGCTCATAGTGCTAATCGCAGGAATCCTTTCCTGAGGCATCAATTGCCGATGGACGCGGGTGAAGAGGACTGCTTGCGCGACCTGCGCGAGGGGTGCGAGTGGGTCGCGTCGCAGTCGACGCATTGCACCATCGACGACCAAGGTAGCTCACGGATACCTGTTATTGACGCGAGAGTCGACGTGACTTCAAGAGTCGACCATATTGACGTTATAGACGACACTACCTTAAGCTTCGACTCAGAAGACGCCTCACCGGCATGGGTGTTGTAGACTTGGTGCTTATATCCAGAACAAATAAGAGGTTGAATCGTCGTAGTTTAAAACGTAACGACTTCACCACTTTGCTTAAACTGCGACGATACTCACTCTGCCGACCCTAACTCCCTGGATGATAACTCTGTTAATGGCAACAGTAACTGCGCGTCGATCACTATTAACTCCACCGATTCTACATCCGCCGAATCTGACTAACTTTGTCGATCACTTTGTCGACTTCCCATACCTGCACTGCACCTGATCGTGATAACATTGTCTTTCTTGCCATGTTTTTGGTTGCGCAATTCTGAATCCCACCAGCGATTGAGGCGCTTGCAGATGCGCTGTGCGAATCACATCGCACTCAACCTACCAATGGTGGTACAACAGCCGAAGCTGCATCAAATCCTGAAACAGCAGCTGATGCTACAACCGACGCTACAGCAGGCGGTGCTGGAAGCAGCACCTCGGGAGCTCACGGCTTGAAACTACCGCCATGGAATTTTGACGGAGTGCATTTCACTGATGGGGGTCCTCTCACCGTGCAGTACCTGCTGCTGCTCGACGCCCTCAACTTCTGCTTCTGGCCGGGTAACATGGTAACATCGTAACATGGTAACATGGTATGGAGTGACATGTGGTAACATGTGGTGCAACATGGTGTGACCAAGGTGTGCCCAAGGTGTGACCAAGGTGTGACCAAGGTGTGACCAAGGTGTGACCAAGGTGTGCCCAAGGTGTGCCCAAGGTGTGACCAAGGTGTGCCCAAGGTGTGACCAAGGTGTGACCAAGGTGTGCCCAAGGTGTGACCAAGGTGTGCCCAAGGTGTGACCAAGGTGTGACCAAGGTGTGACCAAGGTGTGACCAAGGTGTGACCAAGGTGTGACCAAGGTGTGACCAAGGTGTGACCAAGGTGTGCCCAAGGTGTGACCAAGGTGTGACCAAGGTGTGCCCAAGGTGTGACCAAGGTGTGACCAAGGTGTGACCAAGGTGTGACCAAGGTGTGACCAAGGTGTGACCAAGGTGTGACCAAGGTGTGACCAAGGTGTGACCAAGGTGTGACCAAGGTGTGACCAAGGTGTGACCAAGGTGTGACCAAGGTGTGCCCAAGGTGTGCCCAAGGTGTGACCAAGGTGTGACCAAGGTGTGACCAAGGTGTGACCAAGGTGTGCCCAAGGTGTGCCCAAGGTGTGACCAAGGTGTGACCAAGGTGTGACCAAGGTGTGACCAAGGTGTGACCAAGGTGTGACCAAGGTGTGACCAAGGTGTGACCAAGGTGTGACCAAGGTGTGACCAAGGTGTGACCAAGGTGTGACCAAGGTGTGACCAAGGTGTGACCAAGGTGTGACCAAGGTGTGACCAAGGTGTGACCAAGGTGTGCCCAAGGTGTGCCCAAGGTGTGACCAAGGTGTGACCAAGGTGTGAGCAAGGTGTGACCAAGGTGTGACCAAGGTGTGACCAAGGTGTGCCCAAGGTGTGCCCAAGGTGTGACCAAGGTGTGACCAAGGTGTGACCAAGGTGTGCCCAAGGTGTGCCCAAGGTGTGACCAAGGTGTGACCAAGGTGTGCCCAAGGTGTGCCCAAGGTGTGCCCAAGGTGTGACCAAGGTGTGCCCAAGGTGTGCCCAAGGTGTGACCAAGGTGTGACCAAGGTGTGACCAAGGTGTGACCAAGGTGTGCCCTTCAACCACCCGTGGTAAGAGTGTGTTACGTACCTCGTTAGTCTGTGCTGGTTGCCTCGACCGGCCAATTTGGAGTTTGGAAACTCTTTGGTTTCATGCGTTACGTTCTAGACCCACCTCGGTAATGTACGGTGAACCTTGCTGGTTGCCTCGACCGTCGCTCGGTTGCCTCGACCGGCCACCAAAAAGTGGGGTACGTAACACGCCCTAAGACTCTGTGCTGAACCGCTTTCTCAAGTAGCCTCACCAGACCCATGCCTACCATCTCTTTCTCATCCCCCTATTGTAGAGCCTCAGGAGACCAGGCCTACCAAATTCTCGTTATCCTCCTTCATTCCTTCTCAATCATCCGCTCACTTTCCCCTATCCACATCATCCTCTCCTTGCGCTTCATCCCCTTCGTCCACTTCACGCCCTCCAACAGACCCGTCACTGCACTACGAGCACCTGGCGTCCGGCCTAAGAGCAGCAGTGCAGCGCGACTCCACCAGCATTGATGCTGAATCCCCTTGTTAGAAGGCTCACCAAACTGAAATGTGCCTATGCCTCCTTCATGCACGTCACGCCCTCCCTCCATCAGACCCGTCACTGCACTACGAGCATCTGGCGTCCGGCCTAAGAGCAGCAGTGCACCGCGACCCCACCAGCATTGATGCTGCCCGCCTCGCAGCGCTTGATGGTGCGTGCAACAGAATGCTCTCACTGATCCGCTATGAGAAACTGCTGATTGATTGATTGATGGAGTTTTCTGGCTGATGGAATCAGGTCGACATGCAAGTTTGGCAATTTCCCTCCCTCACCCCGTGCCTGTTCCTAGTACGCATTCCCTTGAGCCTCTTCTGTTTACCCCTCGTACTTATAGAGCCCGTCAAATTTCGCATTACGTCTGGGACCCCCTGCCTGCCTCCCCCACCCCATCTCCCACTGGAGCAACAGCAGCTTCCTCGAACCAACCTTCTCCTTAACGCCCTTTCAAACTCCTCTGACCTTTTCCCAGTCGCAGGCCTGCATGCTCTGCTCGGTCCAAAGCCCTTTCCATTGGAGCAGCAGAGAGTGCAGGCAACGCGGCAGGTGGGGCGGGTGCTGCTGCGGCGCTTTGGTGGCAGTGCAGCGAGCATGGTGGAGGAGGCAGGGGGCAGTGCGGAGAGACTGGTTCGCCTGCTCACCACGCACTTTCCCTGTGAGTGCTGTGCAACAGGGCATGGCACTGCATGCTGCTGCTGATGGGGCATCTCAGTGGCATTGCATGTCCCCATCTCCCCCCCTGCGCCCTCACCTTCTCCACCACTCCCCTCCCCCCTCCTCCCTTCCCGCCTCCCCCCTTTCTCCCAGATTTTCAGGACCACGCAATCTACCGTGGCCGCCAGGTGGCGCTCTTTAAGAGGGCGCAGATCTTCGTGGCAGATGTGTGGGGCGCGTTCAACGGGCGCGGGCTGGGTCACTTCTCAGACATCCACCGTCTCACCATGTTCGCCGACTATGTGGTGCCCGCCGTGCTGAGAAGCAGAGGCGTGCTCACATACGCCCCGGGGCTTGCTGCTGCGGTGGACGGCAAACAAGAGATTCTCCCGGGTAGGTTGGGTGTTTTTCCTGGTACGTTCACGATCCATCCACCGCCTCACCATGTTTGCCGACTACGTGGTGCCGGCCGTGCTGAGAAGCAGAGGCCTGCTGAAATACGCCCCAGGGCTTGCTGCTGCTGTGGACGGCGAACTGGAAATACTCGTGGGTAAGGTGCCCAGAAGTTCTGCCAGGTACGTTGCCCTGACATTCTGCCAGGTAAGTTATGTGTTTCCTGGCCAGTGCCTGCCAGTCGCAAGCCTGCGTGCTCTGCTCGGCCCGAAGCCCTTCCCTGTGGAGCAGCAGAGTGTTCAGGCAAGCAGGAAATACTCCCAGGTATAGGTGCCTGGAAGTTCCGCCAGGTACATTGCCCTGCCATTCTGCCAGGTAAGTCGCGAGTTTCCTGGTAGGGTAACGTTATGGCCTGTACCTTCACCACATATACAAGCTGGATTGTGGCGGAAGTGTCAGTGTTTTTTGTGCCACTTCCAGGCAAGGTCAGTGTCGGTGTTTGGTGTGCTTGGACCAGCCTCAGGTTTAGGGTTTAGTGTGACTATATGCTGCGTGTGTGCATGTGCGTGTGCTTGTTTGCGAGCTCTGTGGGGAGGCCTGGTTCTTTCTCTGGCTGAAATGGTCGAGCCCAACCGCTTGGGAGTGCGTTTGTGGGATGACCGCGACTGTCGTGCTCTATGTTCTCTCGATCACTTCCTGGTAGACTTGGATAGCTTTGATAAGTATTTTTCGAGCAAGAAGTTTAAACCTACAGTGGGGGGATGAGTTTGTTGGATGACCTTGTCTGCTGCGCTCTGTGCTCTGCCGATCTCCCCCGTATGCATGGATATGTTCTGTAGGTTCTCAAGCAATTAATGGATATGAGCAGGGGTTGCAGAAGTTATTTCCTAGTGGTTCAAGCAATCAACTGTATTCGCTCCATGCTTTATCCTCTGCTCACCTTGTAGAAATGCATGGGGGGGAGAGGCACGAGGGTGCCTCAAAGATGGCTCTATTTAAACCAGTCTGCTCTTCATGATTCCTTATCCCCGTAATAGGTTCGGAAGAGGAGGTGGAAATAAGAGCGTGCTGCATCGTTGCCACCGAGCGGCTTCGAGAGCGATTGGAGCGCGCAGTGGGGAAGCAGGTGAGATACCACTACAGGGTGGTTCGAATCATCTAGATTGTTTGAAGGCTGGCACTGTACTGGATTCACTATGCCATAAATTCCCCTTTTCTCGAGTCACAATGAGACTGAAAGTGACTTTCTCGTTTTCTGCTCCGTTTGTGCTTGACAGGTTTTAAGCATAGAGCTGGACTGGTTGCTTTGGTCACAGGGAATAGAAAGTGCTTCGCCATTGTGTCATCATCGCACAATGACAATTTATTATTGAGGGAAGGCCTATGATGCAATAGGCGCATACCCTTTTGGTCTGCCGTCGCTTACGCTGTACATAGTGTTTATTCTGTTGGTCGCAAGGTTGGTTCTCGCTTGTGAGTTATGTGATTGGGAGATGGATATATTTTGATGGACAGAGATGCTTCCAGGTGACACCTGCATCTGTCCCTCCAATAGTTGTATTTTACCGGAGATCACTCCACAGAAGCATCTGGTTACCGAGCAGGGGCGAAAGAGAAGCACCCCAGCTTCACACTCTTTACAATGAATACTTTAAACGGCTATGTGCAGTGCGGCGAATGCTGTACGCTAGTTTGACAGAATGTACTGATCAGTGCTGAACTACTCGCAATGAGGGATGCATTATTGAGTTGTTTTTCCGATTGGCTGTACATTATTATCTTCAGATCAGAAAGGGCTGACTCAGTTGAAAGCGAACCAATCCTCCCGAAAAGCCCATTCCGGGCCGCGTTGCCAGCACACAGAGATGTCCTTTTATCGTGGAACACCGCCATGCCAGCGGAGCAGCGGTCGCGCCATTCTGTCCAGGCAGATCGGGATGACGTGACAGCGCATTGCAGCTCACTCGTGAGAACCACTGGAAATACCGCCAAGCCCGATGGACCATCCGCTCCGAGTTGGATTCGCGAATTTCCTGAACTAGACGTAACAAGGATGCTTTCGCCAAGCAGATTGAACATTTATTTTCCAGTTTTATCCACAAGCGCTGCGGGGAGTTCGACGCGGTTCGGCGGCATCTGGTTTCAGCGTGCGGGAGGGCCCAGCAAATGCGCAGGTGCAGTTTCTTGGGTTGCTGCAATGCGCCTCAATTTGCGCCTCTCGCACGCCTCACCTTTGCCTCACCTCTGTGATTCACTTTCGCGCCTCATCTTTGCGCCTCAACTTTGCGCCTCACCTTTGCGCTTCACCTTTGCGCCCAACGCCTGCGACTTGATTTTCTCAGGCAACAACAAGACAGCGCGCCGTTGTTCTTCCCCCCAATGCCACCAGCAGCACACGCACGCAACCGCCTTGGTTCCTTTTCCACTCGACTTCGGGTGTTCCACATACCAAGCGTGCATGGGTGAAAGCTATGTTACCCATGCCAGCATTGCAGTGGGGATCTGCCAACACATGATTCAAGCAATCGAACGCAATCCCGCCCCGCTTTCTGCCCACCCTTCCTTTTCTCACTCCCTCCAGCCGATCGACCATCACCATCAGCTCACCTCCGTACCCGAGAAGGCTTATATACAAGCAAGCACAGCGCAAGCATAATCTATCTTTTGAGCGAGCGACGAAGAGGTCGCTGCTATATGTCAATTGAGGTTCACGCGATCAATTCGTTCAATCGAGTCTCTGTTGGCTAGCTTCTTTATCAAGGATAGTTGTCAAGCTTATCAGCGACCACAGCTTGTGATACTTGTGCCCATTCCTGATAATCATTGGAAAGGCCCTTTTGATTGGCCCCTCCGCGAAACAACATGGCGGCAGCTCTCCTTTCGCACACGGCCTCCGTGCCGGTAACTGTCACGTGCGCGAAATCGACCGCGACTCCTCGCCAGCGCCTGCAATCGCAATTCGCGGGGTCAAGCCTCCGCCTCCCCGCGCGCCTCCCCCAACTCCGCGCGCGGAAGCCCGCGGGAATCTCCGCCGTGATCGAGATCGAGCAGGAGGAGATCCTCACCACACCGCACGAGCCGCCCAAGACGATCCTGGAGAAACTCGAGGAGATGGATGACGTGGGCGTGCCGCACAAGGTGTGGCTGTCTGACGTGGTGACCGTCAAGAAGCGCCCCTATTTCTTCAACCGCGAGTGGCTGCCCAAGGACATCGGATACGCCGCGTTTCTCGGCAGCATCCACCTGCTCGCCCTCGCCGCGCCCTTCACCTTCTCGTGGGAGGCGTTCGAGTGCTTCGTCGCCATGTACGTCATCACAGGTGCGTGCTGACGTCGTGCCGTGGAGCACCCCGAACTGTCCGATCCTTTTTCATCGCTCATTTTCAATGCATGGCCGCGGCAAATTCGTCCTCTGCAACATCAAGTCCGCGATCGCTCACCCTCATGCTAGCTCGTCCCGTGTCATTTCTTCCGTGGTTTGACGGGATTTGGCAACCTCAAGATTGGCAGCCTCAAGATTCATACTCATGAGATCGTGTGTGTGTTCCGTGTGTTGCAGGCATGTTCGGCATCACGCTGTCGTTCCATCGCCATCTGACTCACCACAGCTTCGTGCTGCCCAAGTGGCTTGAGTACACCTTCGCCTACTGCGGCGTCCTCGCCTGCCAGGTAACCACCTCGTCGTCAGTCAGTAACGACAACCTGGCACCAGATACATTTTTCGCATCTTACCATCAGCTTCACAACATGCTAGTTTCGTACTGCGCTTCTCACCTGCCGCTCCCGTGTATAACCGTGTCGTTTTGGGCCACTTACTCCCGTCTCGTTACAGGGCCCTCCGTTCGAGTGGGTGAGCGCGCACCGCGTGCACCACCGCTGGTGCGACAAACCCGAGGACGTGCATACGCCTTACGAGGGGTTCTGGTACAGCCACGCCGGGTGGCTGCTCGATAACGAGGCACTCAACGCCAGGGTACGTCTATTCTTTCCATGTTATTACCCCCGTTCAATGAACTCGATGTCCAGATTCGTAACGCGGTTACTGATTTATCGTGCGTGGTAACCCTGCAGCTGGAGGGGAAGAACAACATCTACGATCTGACAAAGGATCCGTTCTACCAGTTCATCGACAAGACCTACGTCTGGCACATCGTCGCGTCCGTCGCCGCGCTCTACGCGCTCGGTGGCTTCCCGTTCGTCGTCTGGGGCTGGGTAAGTCGTCAACCAGCGTCTCGGTGACTCATCAGCATTCACTTCTCCCTCGGGGGTTTGTGAAAGTCGTCGATACAGCATCTTCTTTATAACCCTTTAATGTATATGGAATAATGTTAAATGCGTGCAGGCTCTGCGTCTGGTGTGGGTGTACCACATCACGTGGTTCGTGAACTCCGCGTCGCACGTGTGGGGCGATCAGCCGTGGAACACGGAAGACCTCTCCCGCAACAACTGGTATGTCGCGGCGGCTCATACACCCTCGTCCTCACTGCTCATCCAGATTCCCACTTCATCACACTGGCAGCACGTTAGGCATCACTTTTGTTCCACCTATTCGCCCCATTTCACCTGCCACAAGTAAGGTCAACAATCCCAATCACAAGTAAATATAATATTTGACTGTTTCCTTTCTTCCGAAACTATTTCCAACGCCTTTTCCAGGTGGGTGGGCATTCTGGCATTCGGCGAGGGCTGGCACAACAACCACCACGCGTTCGAGTACTCGGCGCGCCACGGTCTGGAGTGGTGGCAGATCGATATGACGTGGTACACCCTCAAGCTGCTGGAGGCCGTTGGATTGGCTACCAATCTGCGGTACCCGCGCGAGAAGCACATGAAGAAGCTCGCGTACCCCGATTCGCCCCTCACCAAGTCCTGAGTGCTGCTGGTGTACCCAACAGTACCTAAATAAGCTGCGAAGCATTTAAAATGTCATCATTTGCAACGGTTCAATAGGGTGTGATATGGTGCTGGAGCTGAAAGCACTTTCTTACGTGCTGATAGGTGCTTGTTGCAAGCCTGTGCAGATTTCCCCTTGTGCTGAGGGTTAGGTACATACTTACAAGAAGCTGTGGCAATACAGGGGAGCTGCTGCAAGGTGTAGTTGCTTTCTCTTGTTTTGATGCTCGAACCTTGCAATTGTTTTGAGTTTGTATAACCTTGCCTGGGAAATCTCCCAACAAACTGAACTACACAAGCAGCCATTATATTCATCACCAACAACAAACCTAAAGGACCAGAGCTAATTTCACGGGATTAGTCACTCAGTAATGTGCCTGTAGGCAGAAAGCTGAGAACCCGTAAATCTAGCAGAGGACAGGAGGTTGCGGTGGTGATGCTGCCACCGCCTTGCCTAGCAACCCCTCCGCATCCATGCCCGGTGGGATAAAGAGCAGGTCCCCCCACAAGGAGTCCTCATCGTTTCGCTGTAAGGGTAGTGGGAGGAAAGACAGAAACCTGGTTTGAATGGAATAGCAGGGATAAGGAACACCAAATGGCATGTTTCGATCCCTTTATTGACATGAATGAAATGTAGCCCCAAAAAGCTCACCTCAAGCATTTTGAGTACTTCTTCAAAACTGCCAACCTGGGTATGAAGAATCAAACGAGAAAGGCACAAGAAGAGAGAAAGAGAGGTTCACACCTTGGGCCAGCCACACTATATATAGCGCACCTCTTTATGGTCACACTGTGCAAGGCATTACATACATGGCTACACTCCAACAGTACACAAGGATAAGAACAATGCACATACGCACAATGTAACAGTGCCCCAATTGAACTTGCAACCACATGTGCACCTTCCGGTCATGCCCGCCCTCCCTGGCCTCACACCTGTATGTTGTTGGTGACTCGCATGTTGGGGTTCACTGCCTGCTTCTGCTTAATGGCCTTCAAGTTGCAGGGTGTTTGAGAATTCCCCAAAACACCCCACAGTCACGCCCTCCCTGGCCTCACACCTGTATGTTGTTGGTGACTCGCATGTTGGGGTTCACTGCCTGCTTCTGCTTAATGGCCTTCAAGTTGCAGGGTGTTTGAGAATTCCCCAAAACACCCCACAGTCACGCCCTCCCTGGCCTCACACCTGTATGTTGTTGGTGACTCGCATGTTGGGGTTCACTGCCTGCTTCTGCTTAATGGCCTTCAAGTTGCAGGGTGTTTGAGAATTCCCCAAAACACCCCACAGTCACGCCCTCCCTGGCCTCACACCTGTATGTTGTTGGTGACTCGCATGTTGGGGTTCACTGCCTGCTTCTGCTTAATGGCCTTCAAGTTGCAGGGTGTTTGAGAATTCCCCAAAACACCCCACAGTCACGCCCTCCCTGGCCTCACACCTGTATGTTGTTGGTGACTCGCATGTTGGGGTTCACTGCCTGCTTCTGCTTAATGGCCTTCAAGTTGCAGGGTGTTTGAGAATTCCCCAAAACACCCCACAGTCACGCCCTCCCTGGCCTCACACCTGTATGTTGTTGGTGACTCGCATGTTGGGGTTCACTGCCTGCTTCTGCTTAATGGCCTTCAAGTTGCAGGGTGTTTGAGAATTCCCCAAAACACCCCACAGTCACGCCCTCCCTGGCCTCACACCTGTATGTTGTTGGTGACTCGCATGTTGGGGTTCACTGCCTGCTTCTGCTTAATGGCCTTCAAGTTGCAGGGTGTTTGAGAATTCCCCAAAACACCCCACAGTCACGCCCTCCCTGGCCTCACACCTGTATGTTGTTGGTGACTCGCATGTTGGGGTTCACTGCCTGCTTCTGCTTAATGGCCTTCAAGTTGCAGGGTGTTTGAGAATTCCCCAAAACACCCCACAGTCACGCCCTCCCTGGCCTCACACCTGTATGTTGTTGGTGACTCGCATGTTGGGGTTCACTGCCTGCTTCTGCTTAATGGCCTTCAAGTTGCAGGGTGTTTGAGAATTCCCCAAAACACCCCACAGTCACGCCCTCCCTGGCCTCACACCTGTATGTTGTTGGTGACTCGCATGTTGGGGTTCACTGCCTGCTTCTGCTTAATGGCCTTCAAGTTGCAGGGTGTTTGAGAATTCCCCAAAACACCCCACAGTCACGCCCTCCCTGGCCTCACACCTGTATGTTGTTGGTGACTCGCATGTTGGGGTTCACTGCCTGCTTCTGCTTAATGGCCTTCAAGTTGCAGGGTGTTTGAGAATTCCCCAAAACACCCCACAGTCACGCCCTCCCTGGCCTCACACCTGTATGTTGTTGGTGACTCGCATGTTGGGGTTCACTGCCTGCTTCTGCTTAATGGCCTTCAAGTTGCAGGGTGTTTGAGAATTCCCCAAAACACCCCACAGTCACGCCCTCCCTGGCCTCACACCTGTATGTTGTTGGTGACTCGCATGTTGGGGTTCACTGCCTGCTTCTGCTTAATGGCCTTCAAGTTGCAGGGTGTTTGAGAATTCCCCAAAACACCCCACAGTCACGCCCTCCCTGGCCTCACACCTGTATGTTGTTGGTGACTCGCATGTTGGGGTTCACTGCCTGCTTCTGCTTAATGGCCTTCAAGTTGCAGGGTGTTTGAGAATTCCCCAAAACACCCCACAGTCACGCCCTCCCTGGCCTCACACCTGTATGTTGTTGGTGACTCGCATGTTGGGGTTCACTGCCTGCTTCTGCTTAATGGCCTTCAAGTTGCAGGGTGTTTGAGAATTCCCCAAAACACCCCACAGTCACGCCCTCCCTGGCCTCACACCTGTATGTTGTTGGTGACTCGCATGTTGGGGTTCACTGCCTGCTTCTGCTTAATGGCCTTCAAGTTGCAGGGTGTTTGAGAATTCCCCAAAACACCCCACAGTCACGCCCTCCCTGGCCTCACACCTGTATGTTGTTGGTGACTCGCATGTTGGGGTTCACTGCCTGCTTCTGCTTAATGGCCTTCAAGTTGCAGGGTGTTTGAGAATTCCCCAAAACACCCCACAGTCACGCCCTCCCTGGCCTCACACCTGTATGTTGTTGGTGACTCGCATGTTGGGGTTCACTGCCTGCTTCTGCTTAATGGCCTTCAAGTTGCAGGGTGTTTGAGAATTCCCCAAAACACCCCACAGTCACGCCCTCCCTGGCCTCACACCTGTATGTTGTTGGTGACTCGCATGTTGGGGTTCACTGCCTGCTTCTGCTTAATGGCCTTCAAGTTGCAGGGTGTTTGAGAATTCCCCAAAACACCCCACAGTCACGCCCTCCCTGGCCTCACACCTGTATGTTGTTGGTGACTCGCATGTTGGGGTTCACTGCCTGCTTCTGCTTAATGGCCTTCAAGTTGCAGGGTGTTTGAGAATTCCCCAAAACACCCCACAGTCACGCCCTCCCTGGCCTCACACCTGTATGTTGTTGGTGACTCGCATGTTGGGGTTCACTGCCTGCTTCTGCTTAATGGCCTTCAAGTTGCAGGGTGTTTGAGAATTCCCCAAAACACCCCACAGTCACGCCCTCCCTGGCCTCACACCTGTATGTTGTTGGTGACTCGCATGTTGGGGTTCACTGCCTGCTTCTGCTTAATGGCCTTCAAGTTGCAGGGTGTTTGAGAATTCCCCAAAACACCCCACAGTCACGCCCTCCCTGGCCTCACACCTGTATGTTGTTGGTGACTCGCATGTTGGGGTTCACTGCCTGCTTCTGCTTAATGGCCTTCAAGTTGCAGGGTGTTTGAGAATTCCCCAAAACACCCCACAGTCACGCCCTCCCTGGCCTCACACCTGTATGTTGTTGGTGACTCGCATGTTGGGGTTCACTGCCTGCTTCTGCTTAATGGCCTTCAAGTTGCAGGGTGTTTGAGAATTCCCCAAAACACCCCACAGTCACGCCCTCCCTGGCCTCACACCTGTATGTTGTTGGTGACTCGCATGTTGGGGTTCACTGCCTGCTTCTGCTTAATGGCCTTCAAGTTGCAGGGTGTTTGAGAATTCCCCAAAACACCCCACAGTCACGCCCTCCCTGGCCTCACACCTGTATGTTGTTGGTGACTCGCATGTTGGGGTTCACTGCCTGCTTCTGCTTAATGGCCTTCAAGTTGCAGGGTGTTTGAGAATTCCCCAAAACACCCCACAGTCACGCCCTCCCTGGCCTCACACCTGTATGTTGTTGGTGACTCGCATGTTGGGGTTCACTGCCTGCTTCTGCTTAATGGCCTTCAAGTTGCAGGGTGTTTGAGAATTCCCCAAAACACCCCACAGTCACGCCCTCCCTGGCCTCACACCTGTATGTTGTTGGTGACTCGCATGTTGGGGTTCACTGCCTGCTTCTGCTTAATGGCCTTCAAGTTGCAGGGTGTTTGAGAATTCCCCAAAACACCCCACAGTCACGCCCTCCCTGGCCTCACACCTGTATGTTGTTGGTGACTCGCATGTTGGGGTTCACTGCCTGCTTCTGCTTAATGGCCTTCAAGTTGCAGGGTGTTTGAGAATTCCCCAAAACACCCCACAGTCACGCCCTCCCTGGCCTCACACCTGTATGTTGTTGGTGACTCGCATGTTGGGGTTCACTGCCTGCTTCTGCTTAATGGCCTTCAAGTTGCAGGGTGTTTGAGAATTCCCCAAAACACCCCACAGTCACGCCCTCCCTGGCCTCACACCTGTATGTTGTTGGTGACTCGCATGTTGGGGTTCACTGCCTGCTTCTGCTTAATGGCCTTCAAGTTGCAGGGTGTTTGAGAATTCCCCAAAACACCCCACAGTCACGCCCTCCCTGGCCTCACACCTGTATGTTGTTGGTGACTCGCATGTTGGGGTTCACTGCCTGCTTCTGCTTAATGGCCTTCAAGTTGCAGGGTGTTTGAGAATTCCCCAAAACACCCCACAGTCACGCCCTCCCTGGCCTCACACCTGTATGTTGTTGGTGACTCGCATGTTGGGGTTCACTGCCTGCTTCTGCTTAATGGCCTTCAAGTTGCAGGGTGTTTGAGAATTCCCCAAAACACCCCACAGTCACGCCCTCCCTGGCCTCACACCTGTATGTTGTTGGTGACTCGCATGTTGGGGTTCACTGCCTGCTTCTGCTTAATGGCCTTCAAGTTGCAGGGTGTTTGAGAATTCCCCAAAACACCCCACAGTCACGCCCTCCCTGGCCTCACACCTGTATGTTGTTGGTGACTCGCATGTTGGGGTTCACTGCCTGCTTCTGCTTAATGGCCTTCAAGTTGCAGGGTGTTTGAGAATTCCCCAAAACACCCCACAGTCACGCCCTCCCTGGCCTCACACCTGTATGTTGTTGGTGACTCGCATGTTGGGGTTCACTGCCTGCTTCTGCTTAATGGCCTTCAAGTTGCAGGGTGTTTGAGAATTCCCCAAAACACCCCACAGTCACGCCCTCCCTGGCCTCACACCTGTATGTTGTTGGTGACTCGCATGTTGGGGTTCACTGCCTGCTTCTGCTTAATGGCCTTCAAGTTGCAGGGTGTTTGAGAATTCCCCAAAACACCCCACAGTCACGCCCTCCCTGGCCTCACACCTGTATGTTGTTGGTGACTCGCATGTTGGGGTTCACTGCCTGCTTCTGCTTAATGGCCTTCAAGTTGCAGGGTGTTTGAGAATTCCCCAAAACACCCCACAGTCACGCCCTCCCTGGCCTCACACCT